TTCATATTCAATAACATAGCTATACTTATCGATAGCAAAATGCGAGATCAGCGTTTTTTTAGGTCCATCTCTACGCATACCCAGGCGTATTTCCCCCTCGCAGCCATAGTTGTGTTAATGTCTACCTTCAGAGGCTTCCCCAGAGTTTTAGCAATATGAAAGAGGACTTTTTCACTGTAGTATTCAATAGGGAGATTAGGGAATCTAACCCAGATAGCTGTTGTATCCTCTTCTGTAACATCCGATTTGAAGTCCGGTTGCCACTTTTAAACAGTGACATAGTGATCCATCACTACCCATGGGCCGCATGTGTAGACCCTAGTATAGTCCTCCATCATATCAAACTTCACTATGAAGAAGCCATGTCCAATATCAAGAGCTTCAAAATCCGCTTGTAATCCCCAAATCTTTTTCATCTTTGTGACAAACACTTTGTAACCAATGCTCTTACCCAGTAGTCGAATAATGAGGCACTTTTTCCATGGCTCCTGAATTTTCTTGAGTAGGCCAGGTGGGATTTTGACTTTAGGAATTTGGTCATTTTGATTGAGCTCTAAATCTTCAGCAGCAATATCTTTAATCATATCTTCCTCGTCATCAGATGATAAATCTTCAACATCACAATCAATTTTTTTTTCATTGTTGTTCTCAATAAATCGCGAATGGAGGAGAGCCTGCTTGAAGGATTTTGTATTTGCTTCCGATCCTTCTATGCATTTATCCTCGCTCACATCCATGACTTCGTTTCCTGGATTGAGGTTCACTGTGGTCTCCGTCATGTCTGTTTCAATTAGATCAGATTGGGTGATCGGTGTAGACAGTGGTTGTTCCCCCACGAAGACATCTGAGTGTTCCAATTGATTTTCTTTGATTTTCTTCGTACTCCTGGCGAGGTGATCATCTTCTTCAGGTGATCGGCCATGAGAGATGGTTTCAGCAGCAACGTCATTTTCTCTCATGAGTGACAAAAAAAACGTCTATTGTCCTTAGTCTTTTTCTCTCATAAATACTTAAGGGGGAAAAGTTTGAGAGATTTTAAAGTGGACGTACAAAATTACATCTTTTCCAATTATCATAATTACATTAAGCCTCCGTTTGGGAAGTGGGTTGGCTTTTTGACTTTTTGGCTTTTTTGGCTATTTTGGCCTGGGCTTAAAAGCTTGGTTTGGGAAGGGCTTTTTGGCTTTTTGGCTTTTTTGAGTTTTTTTGTGAGAGAAGAATGTAATGATTATGGGTTGGAGGTGATGTTTTGTTTGTTATGGCTAAAATAGTCTATTTTGTTTTTTGTGGCTAAAATAGCCAAAAAAACCCAAATCATGACTTCCCAAACGAAGCCTAAATATTAAAAAAATGTAAGAGGAATATATTTACACTAACTACAAACATATTACAAATCAAATGAACATACAAAATAAAAATAAAACCTTTAAACAAATATAAATGAAAGAAAGATAAAGATAGAAAAAATCAAACTGCTGACTTTATTAATCCTTAACAAACCAATTATTGAAAAACTATAATTAAACCTATACATAAATATTTGTTATGTGATCAACATTAGGTAAGTTTAATGATAAATATTTGATGATAAAATTTAAGAAGGATTGACCAATAAATTTCATGCTTTAGACTTGTAATTCATATAGTTTCATATTTTTTCTTGTAATTCATTTAATTATTTTTGATGTGTAATGACTTATTTACCCATTACGTTGGAGTGTCACATTTGAAAAAAATATACTATTAAATAATTTGTTAGTATCATATAATACCCGTTACGTTGAAGTGTCACATTTAAAAAAATTATACTAAAGAATTTTTAATTTTTTTGCACTATCATATCATACTCGCCACGTTAGAGTATCACATGTCACGTTTAGAAAAAGTAAATTAATGAGTTTTTAATTTTTTTTTAGTGTCACATCATACCCGTCATATTGTCACATTTGAAAAAAGTACACTAATAAGTTTTTAGTTTTTATTTTCGTTGGAGTGTTACATTATACCCGTCACGTTGTCACATTTGAAAAAAATACACGAATGAGTTTTTAACTTTTTTGGAGTGTCGCATCATATCCGTTACATTGTCACATTTGAAAAAAATACACTAAGGAGTTTTAAATTTTTTGGGGTGTCACATCATACCTGTCACATTGTTACATTTAGGAAAAGTACATTATGAGTTTTTTTATTTTTTTGAGTAAAAGATTTAGAGTGTTGCATCATGCTCGTTACATTGTCATATTTGAAAAAAAATGTATATTAATAAATTTTTAATTTTTTTGGAGTGTCACATTATACCCGCCATGTTGGAGTATCACATTAATATCTGATACATTGGAGTGTCATATTATATTTGTCACATTAATAAAATTGTATAATCGTCCACTAAAACACTACCAAAATCAAAATAGAACCATATGAAAATAAACTCTTCACTAATGAAACTCAACAGATCAATAAATAAAAAATTTAAAACTAATTAAAATACTTATTTGTGAAATAAAATTTATTAATAGACATCTCAAAATTTAAAACCTCAAGTCACCACAAATGAGAGATTTGTCCAATTATTAACTCCAGTGCTTCCAACATTTTAGGTAATCTTCTTGCCACTCATCATTAAACAAATGGACAAAAAAAAAAAATTTCATGTGATTGTCACGTGAGCATGCTTTAAAGACATGTCATGTTTGTTTGGGTGGACATGAGCTTGGAATTGGACTAATAGTCCAATAAAATTATTAATCCGATGTTTGGTTAAACAATTGAAGTACGGATTAATTATTTTAAACTTGACTATTAGTTAAGATAGGATACATAATCCAACGGATTAGTTGTCCTAGGACTATTAGTCATGGGAATGCTAATCCAGTCCACCCAAACAAACATGGCCTAAAAGAAAATTTTGCCATCGTTTAGCATGTTGAGTTTTTTGACTATTTAATTATTTTAGTCATAGAAAAAGTATAATAGATTTTTTAGTTTAATAAAATAAAATGTTATATTTAATTTATAATTATTTTATTTTTTTTCTTATAAAAATAAAAAAAATTCAAAAAATTTATCAAAAACGAGATTTTTTTATACTAATTTTGCCATCGTTTAGCATGTTGAGTTTTTTTTGACTATTTAATTATTTTAGTCACAGAAAAAATAAAATAAATTTTTTAATCTAATAAAATAAAATTTCATATTTAATTCATAATTATTTTATTTTTTCTCTTATAAAAATTTAAAAAAATTCAAAAAATTTATCAAAAATGAGATTTTTTTATACCAAATTAAAATAATCAAAAATTAAAAAGTTAAAAAATTAACTCACATCCCAAATGAATATAAATCTTACTTTTTATAATCTTTATTCAAATTTCATTTATGTATTCAACTTTTACTCTAATTTTAAATGGTGGAATGGCATAATGATTATATGAAAAATTATAATTCAGTGCAGGATTTGGAAAAAATTTATTGATAATTGGTAAATTTTATACACATTAATAATAATTAAAATCATAAAATTTTCTATTATTCTGTAATCATTTTCTGATGATGTCACTTATTAGTAATTTTCCCATGATTCTATTGAAATTCAAATTAAAATTTGCTAACTTAATTATTACAATTAAAATGTGAAGGATTATAAAGAAGGCCTCATTTGGCATGTGAGTGTTTTAATTTAAAAGTCAAAAAATTATTAAAAAAATAAAAAAGTCTATAACCTATATAAAAAAGTCAAAGATTCTATTTTCTTTCTACTTTTTTTACATATTTTCGTAAAAAATTAAAAAGTCATTCCAAACATACTAATTTTTTTATCTCATATTTTAACTAAAAAATCAAAAAGTTACTAAAATAACCTGTTCTGGAACGAGAAAAGAAAAAAGAAAAAAAATACTACATATCTTAATTTATTATCCTTGAATGCCTTCTAATGATGTGGTATTGAAATTAGACCCCATATAATGGAATGTTTGATAAATCAAAATTTGACACTTATCAAATAGATTGTTAAGGGTGATTTTTAAGAATGATAAATTAAGTGTCTCAAACATTTTCAAAAAAACAAAAGGAAATTATCTGTTAGTGGTATGTAGAAAATTTATTTAAAAAAATGATAAATATTAATAATTATAATTATAATTTATTTTGCTAATGTGTAATAATTTTTGAAAAGTCTCCCTGAATGAAAATTTTGTCCAAAAAAAAAAAAAAAAACAAAACCAAATTTAGATTAAAGTTGAAAGTGTTTGGCTTTAGACTTAGGGCTATTTTGGAAAGATGGTTATAATTAATTTTTTTTGGATTATAACCCACTTCCTAAAAGGGGCCTTAGTAAGGTCATTTTAGAACCGACTTCGGTGATTTGAACTGTTTATTTTTTTGACTCGTTGAGTAGAATAGTCATGAAAAAAATTAAGACGATTAGACTTTGGTAACTATATATTCGAATCATATTTGTTTTAAAAAAATAAAAAATAAATATAATTTTAAGAATAATCATTTATTTTTTTGTAATACAAATTTGATTAAAGCATATAGTTATTTACGTCCGATCATTGTGTTGTTTGCATGAATATTTTATTCAATGAGTTTTAAAAATAAATTATTCAGATTATCAAAATGGGATCTGTGATGGTTTCACGAGCCTCTCAAATTATTGACAAAACAAAAAAGAAAAAGAAAAAAAAGACACCTTTTCTTGATTTTTTTTTCTTCAAAATTATGTCAAAATATTTTACTTTTCTAGTCCAACTAGTCGAAACGAATTTAAAAAAATATATATATTTTTTTTTAAAAAAATTCAAAATCAAATTGAAAAAATCAAAATAAGCAATTTTTTTTTTTAAATTATAATTTTCCGATTCATTGAATTTCAAAAAAAAATTCAGTAAAAAAAAATAAAAAAAAAGGACTTCTCAAAGCATCTCGCAAGAACTGAGAAACCTAACCCAAGTCGAAAAATCACCTATTATTATTTTTAATTAATTAATTGTTTTTGTGTGAACGCCAAGTAACTTCTCCAAATATTGGTACCGAATTCGATAATAAAATAATATGTATGCTTCCCACTATTCCTAAAATCAAAACCGAAGCACTACTCATCGGCTTCGCACCTTTCTCGATCTATCTCTATCTCTATGAGAGTTTCGAAACCCTAACCCTAGTTTTGATACACTCGCTTCTTCGGATTCTAGTATTTGAATATTGAAATTATTCGATGAATTATCAAGTCTCTTTCATCAAATCTCGATTGTAGATTGTCACCCACACTCTCGTGTTGGAGAATCAGCGGATTGATTCGAGATTTCGCGGAAGGAGGTGGATCGATCTGAAGAATCGGTGGTTCTCGCTCGTCGGGGTTGAATTCGTTTGCAAAGCTTCAAGGCGGTGCGGATTTGTCAGATTCAGCGTCCATCAGAAGAACCGGTTGTTCGCTGTGGTTCGGCATCTGAAGGAAGGGGCTTATTCGATCGTCGCTCTCATCTGCCAGATCTGATCGATTTCTCGACGATCGGTGGCGTACATACAGTCTCTTCAACGATTTGTTTTCTCATCGGAGGCATAGATTGTAATTTGAAGGATTCTCCTTTGAAGATATTGCGATTTGCAGGAGTCTACGCGTTGGTTTGATATTTTTTGAGTTATTGAAGAGCTAGAAGAAAAGAAAAAAGAAAAGAAAAGAAAAAAACAAAAGCTTCTTTTTCTTGTACTGTTGTTTGAGTTCAATATCAGGCCTTTATTTTTATTAACGGCCTTTCAATTTTTAGGGCTTTGTGTTTGTTGTTGATTTCTCTTTATTTTTAGAGCAAAGAGGGGAAGAAATTTCTTTAAAAAAATATGGCTGTGTATTATAAATTTAAAAGTGCAAAAGATTATGATTCAATTCCAATCGACGGTCATTTCATATCAGTTGCGAATTTGAAAGAAAAAATATTTGAATCCAAGCATTTGGGCAGGGGTACCGATTTTGACCTCGTTGTCACCAACGCGCAGACTAACGAAGGTTGGTTTGATTAGTTGATTCTGTTTTCAAAACTTCTACAAATAATTTTGAATGCAATTCATGTTTTGTTTTATATGGATTAAAAATATGCTCTTTGATTGGTTAGTTTGGTATGGGACATGCTCATGAACATTCTGTTTTATGAAAAATTTACGGGTGTTAAATGAGCAAAATGCGCCCTAACATATCCGTAGAATGAATCATTGACGAGAGGAGGGAACCATGATGAGTGATGAATTTTGTATTTAGGAAGAACTTTCTGTTCAAATTCAAATTCTAAGCAAACTAGCCCTTTTTAGGGAAAAATTAAGTTTGCATATTTGGGGCCTGAGGGTTGAGTTGGCACCTTTGAGTGTACACTGTACGGTTATATTGATGGGTGTGTTACTGATAATTGGTCTAATGGGGTTTTTGAATATTTTAGCGGATTTGTTTTTAAAGAATGGATGGATTGGGTGATTTAATTTTATTCAGTTGTATGCTTGGTTATGTGGATAGATCTTATAGACTGTTTTCTCTGTTTTTCAATTTCAGAGTATCTTGATGAGGCAATGTTGATTCCCAAAAATACATCTGTTTTAATTCGTCGAGTTCCTGGACGCCCTCGCATGAACATAGTTACCGAACCAGTTATTGAACAAGACGAGTACTATCTTGATCCCTAAATCTTTTGGCCACTAGTTGTATTTCAGTTTTTTTTTTTTTTTTTTTAAATTTTGGGTAATTTGTGCAGGTTAAATTGGTTAAATATTAGTTATGTGTCTGTAGCTAGCTTTGCAAGGTTTGCCTGAGCCTGCTGTTATGGCTGTACTCGTCTCTTTTTTCATTCATAGACCATTTGGTGGTGCTTTGAGCTTGTAAAAGCTTTTTTTAATGTTTTATGGCCCTTTATTATGGTGGCAAATTCTGAGAGTTTGGTTGAGTGCAATCTATGTATTGATCTGCAGGCCAAAGTTGGAAATTAATAAGTCTGACGATGCTCAACCACTAAACAATAGTTTCCTAGGAGCTGATTCATCTGTCACAAAATATGTAAGCTTTAACTTGTTTGTTCTTTTCTGTTGAAAGAATGGATTTGTCATATGGTTTTGAACGTCTATTCTAGTTCTTGGCATAATGACCTGACCTAATTTTGGCCTTTGTAGCCTGAAGATTCAGAATGGGATGAATTTGGAAATGATTTGTATGCAATTCCTGAGGTTTTACCAGTTCAGGCTAGCAATCCAATTCAGGATGCTCCCCCTTCTAGCAAAGCTGACGAGGACAGCAAGATCAAGGCTTTAATCGATACTCCAGCGCTGGATTGGCAGCGGTGAGATGCTGTCCTGTTGTTTTTTTATCTGATATGGGATGGTTGGTTTTCTAGTTGTGTTGATGTGGGTATGATATTTCATAGAATCTTATCTAGTCTCATTCTGTTGGTTTTGCAGTCAAACTTCTGATGGCTTTGGCCCTGGTAGAGGTTTCGGGCGGGGTATGGGTGGAAGAATGATGGGTGGTCGTGGTTTTGGTAATTATCTTATACCTTGACATTGTGTTGCTTAGTAGATTTGTCCACTTTCTCTGTTGTCTTTATTTGCAATGGTTTCTTTTTCATCACTGTGGATCATGTAAATTTTTATGCTTTTGGTGTATAACTAAAATTTATATTCTATTTGTTCAGGTCGGGGAGGAGGTGGGTTGGAGCGGAAAAACCCTCCACAGGGTTACATATGTCACAGATGTAAAGTGCCTGGTATGTGCAAGTTTTTGGTGTTTTGTTTAAACTTAAAAAAAAGAAAAAAAAAATGAAGCCTGGTGGATGTATTGCTTGAAAATATATTAAGGCCTCGTTTGGGAACAGGCTAATTTAGTAATTTTTTGGTTATTTAACTAAAATATGAGCTAAAAAACTAGTATGCTTGGGATGATTTTTTGACTTTTTACGAAAAGATGTGCAAAAAGTAAAAAGAAAAGTGAATCTTTAACTTTTTGGTATGAGTTGTTGGCTTTTTGATTTTTTTTAGTGACTCTTTGACTAAAAAAATCACTTGCCAAACGAGGCCTAAGTGTTTAAACGTTTTGTTCAGGGCACTTTATTCAACACTGTCCTACTAATGGTGATCCGAATTTTGACATCAAAAGAGTGAAACCTCCTACGGGTATTCCGAAGTCTATGCTAATGGCAACTCCAGATGGCTCTTATGCACTACCGAGTGGTGCTGTAGCTGTTTTAAAGCCGAACGAGTAAGCTGGACTCTTTCTTTTTCTAGGAATCTTATTTTTTGTACTATTTGAAGACTCTCTTGTATGCAAGGAAATTTATTGGTTCATTCGTTGTATATTGTACAGGGCTGCTTTTGAAAGAGAAATTGAAGGATTGCCTTCAACTCGTTCTGTTGGTGATCTTCCACCTGAACTTCACTGTCCTTTGTGTAAAGATGTTATGAAAGATGCAGTGCTGACTAGCAAGTGCTGTTTTAAAAGCTTTTGTGATAAATGTAAGATTTCATGTTATATTTTCCATGTGCGTTACACGTATGCTCCAAGTTTTTTTAAAAAAATTGTGAATGTCATTTTTACATTGCTTCTTGTATTTTTGGAAGTTCGATGTGCAAATATAAATGTTGTTTTCTTTTCTGTGTTTGTGGTGAAGTTATGGATATTTTGTGACTATGAATGTTTATTTGCTCAAATTTAGGGTTGGTTTGGCATAAACTAAGGCCAAGTTTGGGAAGACTAAATAAGTGCACTTTTTGTCTTTTTGGACTAAAAAATTGAGGTTGAAAATATGGATGTTTGGGTTAACTTTTTGACTTTTTATTGAAAAATGTGTAATAAAAAAGTGTAAAAATTGATTTGTAGGAAAAAATTTGAATTGAGAGTTGTGCAGCCGTAATTGTTGACTTTTGATGAATAGTGTTAACTTTTTAACTTTTTGAGTAACTTTTTGGCTTTTTGGCTTTTTGGGAACATCCCAAACTTGGCCTAAATAATACAAAAAGTCAAAAAGTCACTATCCTATTTAAGTCACATCATCTTATTTAAATCACATCACCTCTCTAACACATCACATCACATCAAACCCAACCCAAACCCAACCCATATAAACCAATAAGTCAAAAAGTGCATTTTTTTAGAACACCTCAAACCAACCCTTAAAATGTTTGCTTTTCTGTAGATTTTCTATATCCAATTAAACGAATTTACTTTCAGGTATAAGAGACCACATCATATCTAAGTCAATGTGTGTCTGTGGGGCCACAAACATACTAGCAGATGATCTTTTGCCCAACAAGACACTTCGAGATACAATCAATAGAATATTAGAGTCTAATAATAGCAGTGCAGAAAATGGTGGAAGTGCTTTCCAAGCCCAAGGTTTGTACATTATTGATGTTTCTATTTTGCTTCGAGTCACAACCATTGTTTCTGATTCTATTTTACTTATTTTCTCTTTCAGATATGGAGTCTAAGATTCCCCAGCCTAAGATGGAGCCTAAGGTTCCATCCCCTACACAGTCTGCAGCATCAAAGGGGGAGCAATTACCACCACCTCAATATACACATTCTGCAGTGTCAAAGGGGGAACAATTACCACCACCTCAAAATGAAGAGATTTCAAAGGTAAGAGATGCTGCAGATCAGGGAACTATTCTCAGTGCTCCTCAGAAGACCTTGGAGAAGGGGAGGACAGGAAAAGTTCCAAATGCCTCTGAAGCTACACACGATTCCATGAGTATGAAGGAACCTGCATCACAGGGTAGTGCTCTGCTGGCTGATGAAGAAGTGCAACAGAAGCTAGTTTCTGGTGAGGCAGGTAATGTCTCTAATGTTTAGGGTACTCGTGTTTTTCTATGCCTGATGTTGCTTGGGACCAGTTCATTAATGAGTTTTGTGCTGCTTAAATTTTTTGTCCACTTTTAGCTTTGTTGGTTTTACCTATTGTTGTGCGAGGGGTAGACTCATTGGAGTATGTCATTATGGAGAGAAACAAGTTGGTCCTTATACATTGGAGTATGTCATCGTTTTTGTTACAAGAATTAATTTTTTACTTTGTCAGGAAAGAAGAAGAAAAAGAAGAAACCCCGGTTGCCTTTGAATGGTATGTTTGCTGTTTTGTTGTATATCCCTTGAGACATCTCCCAGAGTTAGTTTGTTGGGATTTGGGGAATATAATATATCTGTCTCAGTTAATTAACTTTCTTAGCCTTCGTGATGCTGACATCATTCTGTTTCACACTTCAGCTGCGGAGATGCAGTGGAAAATGTCTCAAGACCTTGCTGCTGAGAACTATATGATGCCTATGGGCCCTGCTGCTTATAATCCGTATTGGACTGGCATGCAACCTGGCATGGAAGGATATGGAGCTCCGTATGGTGGAGCCCCATTTGGTGGTTCCCTACCCTTTATGGGTTATGGGCTCGGTCCTTTAGACGTTCCATTTGGTGTACTACCTCAGGACCCATTTGGAGCACAAGGTTACCATATGATGCCTCCAATCCCACCTCAAAGGTATGCTTCATGTTTGTACTCTCATATATTCCTGTAGTGTATATAGAATTTTGAAAAAGAGAGTAAAAGTTGGAAAGGATATGTATTTTGGTTGAGGGAGGGTGAAGTGCTTGTGTGTTGTTTGAGGTGGTATGCCATGTGATGTGTGTAGAGAGACAAGTCTTGTGTAAGGGTCACATGTGTGCGAGGTTTGTGCCTTGTGATGCCCATTGCATTTGGGTCTTAGTAAATTGCTAAGTTGGATTTGTTTTGCTGTTTGCTTTTAGTATCTGGTAGGGCATTGTGCTGTGTTTGTTGTTCATGTTATTAATTGGATTGTAAATTTCTACTGATCATAGGGATCTTGCGGATTTTGGGATGGGCTTCAATCCTGGACCCCCCATCATGAGCAGAGAGGAATTTGAAGCTCGGAAAGCTGATCTAAGGAGGAAGCATGAAATGGAGAGAAGGGGTGAAAGGTAACTAACTCTCTGGTGATTCTATTGTCCCTGAGGCTAGCGGTGCACTGTCTGAATCAATTGTATAATAGTATTTTGTTGTGGTATGCCATGTTTCATTATCTCAGTTGTTTAAGTTTTCTTAAAAACTTAAGACACTCAGTTTCTCATAAAATGCTTTTTATAGTATGTATATTACTTCTGCTAATTTATTTGACAAGCATTGCCATCCCAAAAAAGTAGTAGTTGTGGTGGTGCTTAGTAATATCCCTCCTTCGTTTTGACCATTCCTCTGAATATTTGTAGTTCTGGTCCTTAGTCATATCGCGTGTATGTGTATGTGCATGCGTGTGTGGTTTTTACTGGTTCTTTTGACCGTTCCATGGTTGTTCTTTTCTTTTGCCAGAGCCTTGTTACTTCAAACTGGTATTTTGGTGTCCTGTTGAGTTGGAAGTGGAATTCTGGATGGTTGTGGCTGAATCCATGACTATTTTGTTAAAAAAAATTTCTCTTATTTGTTTATTTATTTTTTAAAATCTTAGATGGTGGTCTACATAGTTCTGTTTGTGAATTTTATTCTCTATGCTTGTTCATGATTACCAAATCCATTTGCTCTTTGCGGCTGATGGTATACTCCAAAAGTTTTTAGTTTGTATTGGAAGTCTTTAACCAAGTTGTGTGTTTATGAATCATTTGAAGCTTTTATGGTTCAATAATTGTTATGATGTATGATCATTTGACCTGTATTGTGTATTCAAGCTGAATTACCCATTTAGTATTTTATTTGATTGACGTGTTCAACTTCTTCCTCTTGCAGCAGGGAGTTATCTAAAGATCGGGAATTCAGTAGAGAAGTGAGCAGCAGTGGCGATGTTTCTTCGTTGAAATCAAAATCTGTATGTTTTTTGTTGTCTAAATTTATTTATTTTTCATTATCTGTATGTACTGCAGCAGGTACTCTTGGTGGTGGGTTCCGATCAACAATTTGGTAGAACACCAATTTGGCCGGAAAAGATAATGGGGCACCCAGCAAGGGAAATGCATAGAATTTCTCTTCTACAGGATTTGTTTCTTACAAAAAATTGAAATCTTGTTTTTGATGCTGCTGTTTAAATTAAGCAACCAAAAAATAATTTTAGTTAAATTTGAAGTCATATTTTCTTCTTTTTTTTAATTTATTTATTTTTATCTATTTTCTGCCTTGATGCTCCATCTAATTGCAATATATATATATATATATATATATATAAATATTATAGGAAAATAAATGAAATTCTGAATCTTTTTTATGTACTCCAATGTTGACTTATTTTCAAGTAATGTCACTTTTACATTCATTTTCCGAAACTATCAGCAATGAAATGGGCTTTACATTTTTTTATCATCTATTCAGCCTTTAATATAATGTTTTCCTTTTCAAAACAATATGAATAATTTTCTTTTTCACTGAAATTTAGAGTGAGAAAGTGATCTAATTTCATGTAATATTTATATATATTTTTTCTTTCATTACTGAATGGAGGAGCTGTTTCAATTTGGTGGCCGTTGGTTGTACATGGTGGTTTTTGGACAATTTTGGAGTTTAAAAAATAAAAAATAAATATTGATTTCCATTGAAAATATTGGTATTGGCCTTGGACACAATTGAAAAAATTGAGAGTAGAAATTGGCGGTGGAACACAAATTTTCTCAAACCACCCTTTCTGTCTTTTATGATTAATATTTTTTTATTAAAGAAAGAAAGAAAGAAGGAAGGAAAGAACAGATTTGAAAAAATAACAAAAAAATTAAAATCTCAAAAACATGAAATAAAAAATAAAGAATAAACAAAAGTAAAGCTGCCGTTAATTTCTCTGCATTTGTAATTTGTCACGATGGTAATAGAATATTTTTTTGAAAAAAAAAAATTTTGTTATTATTTAGATATTTATTGATATTGATTTTCTGGGCATGATGGGAATAAATTTGTTTAATTTCTCTTTTAATTTGAAATTTTTGGTTTGAATGATTCAATATTTGTCTCTATCCAATAATAATTGGTAAATGTTGATTTGGCAGAAGTCGGTTCCCCAACCGTCAAGTGGTGAGCACCATAGCCACCGCCAACGATCTGAGAGGTCAGTGCCGGAACGCCCTGTCCGTGACCGTGACCCTGAACTTCCACGCCCTTCTTCCAAGAGGAAGTCAGACTACGACTATGACTACGACCACCGCGATCGCGATCGCGATCGCGATGACCACCACCACTCTCATAGCAGCCACCACCACCGTTCAGAGTCCTCCTCAGCCGCCAGATCATCATCAGCTACACTAGAACCACCACCACCATTACCACAATCCAAGTCCACAACTACCGATCGGAAGCAGAAGCCAAGCGTCTTCTCTCGCATCAGCTTCCCGGCCGAAGAACCACCGGCGACATCTAAGAAGCGAAAGCTGTCTTCCTCCGAGGCGGCGGCTGGTGGCTCTGCGTCATCGGCAGCTCAACACAGCCACAGGTCCTCTGCGAATGGATACCATGAAGATTACAAGACTTCGTCATCGTCGCTGAAGGCGGTATCGGTGTCGAGGAAGAGTGCTGCTGCTTCTGCTTCTGCTTCTGCTTCTGCGGCGGTGGCAGGTGTAGATTATGAGTCGAGCGATGACGATCGGCATTTTAAGAGGAGGCCGTCGAGGTATGAGTCGCCGCCGGCGGTGGTTGCGGCGGCGGAGTGGGAGGAGGAGGGGAGGCATTCGAGAGGAGGAGGAGGAGGAGGAGGAGGAGGGAAACGCGAACGGGGAAGAGATGAGAGGGAACGCGGTGGTTACAGCAAGCACAGGTGAAGTCGGTAGTTGAAACAAGTGGCGGCGTTTTACTCTCTGACTGGAAGTCAAAGCTCTGCTCCACCAGCCAACTGTCCATATGAGAGAGAGGGGAGAGAAACACAACACACACACTCTCTCTCTCTTCTCTCTCTCTCTTGCGAGTGATGTATATGGAAGGCCCAATTGGTGTAATTGATGGGGGAGAGAGAGTACTGCTTTATAGATGTCATGCAAAAAAATCCATGAGATTAGCTCTCTCTGTATTTGCTTTTTACTATGTTATAATAAAATATACATTTTGCTTTTTATCGGATTTGTTCTCTTTTCGTCATTTATTCAAATCTTTATTTGCTTTTTTTATTTTTATTTTCTCAACTTTGTTACAAAAGATCTTAAATTACTTAAAATTTTAACAACTTATCAATTGTGTGAGTATTTGGTTTTTGTTGTTTTGTTTTGTTTTGTTTTATTAGGAGTAATTTGTTGTGTGTTTTTTAACCTTTATTGATATTTTCTTTGCCTGCTATTGTGAATTTTCTTGTTTATAACTAATTTTAATTTACAGAAAATTATATTGTTACTTGTAGGCGACATTTGATAGCAGTATAAATGCAAGAGATTGGACTAGTTATGTGGGATTTACTTATTTCATACATCAATGGTCAAAAAAATTCACTTAAGGTGGGACTCTGCAATAAGGGAGTGGCACCTAGATGTCATTATTTTTCATACCCTTTTATATTTTATTTTACTAGCCCGTTACCCGTGTTATGCACGGGATAATTATAGATATTTATATTTATTTTAGATTTTTTTTAATATATAAATTATGTTGTTTAAGATTTTTTATAAAAATAATAAAACAATTTTATCACTAACTATAGTGTATGAGAGAAGTTGAAAAGAGTATTGCAGTAATTATACACGGATTGTATATATAATTATTTGTATGAAGGAATTTTAAATGCTAATCAGGGGATTGTATCAATAAATGCAGGCATGTGAAAAGACATGTGAATTGAAAACAGTTAATAAAAGCTGATCAGGAGATTTTAACCAAATCAATAAATGCTGAGTTTTTTTTTTTAATATAAAATTTAAAAAATTCAAATTGGAATATTGAAACTCTCACAGGCCTTGAGAGTTAAAAACCCCCTTTTGCTTAATATATAGTATAGATATAGATAGATAGATATAGATATAGATAACATAATATAGATAGACAGATGTGTTGAAATTTTTAAGGAATTTTGTTTATGTTGGTCTTTAATGCATTAAAGTTTAATTAAGAGGGGGTTTTGACCAAATCTCCCAAAAGGCATGGGGATTGAGAGAAATTAATAAATACTGTGATTTTTTTTTAAAATCAAAAAATTAAGATTGGGATATTAGAACTCCCACAAATCTTGGGGGTTAAAAACCCCCTTTTGCTTAATATATAGTATAGATAGATGGGTCTTAGTTTGGGCCTACAATAATTCATTTATCTTGTAAATTTTACAATGAAGATCCTTTTTGTAAAAAACTATCTTTATTGGATAGCAATGAATAAATAAACAAATTACATTTTGTTTTATAAAATGAATTATTTAAATTTAAATGCATAGCTGTCATCTATTTTTTTAAAATAAAATATAATTTGTTCATTAGTCTGCTAATGTTTGATGAAATTGATTTTTTAATAAAGTTTATCTTTATTGCTAAACCTACGAGGAATTATTTAGATCAGCAGGGTGGGTTCGGAATAGAAACTCACAAATTGAGTATAAAGGAATATAAAGGATAATGATATGGATGGAAGCCATTCTCCTACAGTAATAACTTTAAATATGCATCATAGATATGAACTTTATGGCATTATTTCTGATTAATTTTCTTGTTTCCTAGACTCATCCTATTTCATATTTAAACATCTCCAACATATATTCTTTTGTTAATTTTTAATTATTTTAAACAGTAAAAACCCTAAAAATCATTCCTGACAAACTCCCTAAAAAGTTCCCTAATTTAACAAACGCTACAATGAGTCACTGTTCATTTCCTAAACATATAATATTATTTTTTCTCTCCTTTTTCTGTTTACTCCCTAATCCAACTCGAACATCAATTTCTAAAAAATAGGTTTAATTAAAAAAGAATAATAAAACAATATTTAAATAAAGTATAAGGGGTATTGTTAGAGAAAGTAATTGAAAAAGTGATCACCTGAAATAAAGAATGCATAATTTAAAGAACAAGAGCATTATTACAATCCGTGGCGTATCCATGAATTTAATGGAGAGGGGGCACAAATTAATGATAATATCAGTGTGTTTGGTTTGAATTTTTTGGATTAAGTTTTTTGAAAATTGAGTTTTTGGGTTTTTATGTTTTTTTTGTTTTTAGTGAATATTTTTAAAATTTTAAACATTTGTTTTTATTTTTTTAGATGCACTTTACTTATATATATTTAAAAAGTAAAAAATTTGTGAAAAAATATTTTAAAAAATTAATAAATACATAAAAATACAAATAATGTACAGAATTCTCATAATTTTTTTTTATATTTTTGGTATTTAGTGAATTTTTAAAAAGTTTTTTTCACAATTTTTTTACTTTTTAGGTATATTTATGTTAGGTATGTGTAAAAATTAAAAAAATTGTTTAAAATATTAAAAAAAATTCAGTAAAAATAAAAAAAATATGGAAAACAAGAAAGTAGAATTTTCTAAAAAATATTTTTGGAAAACTCTAACCAAGCAAAAATTTTTTCTTTTATTTATAATAAACAACAATGAGATATTATTAAACTTAAATATTAAGAGTTCATTTGGATAAATGTGAATTTTAAATTGAAGGATTTGAGATTAAATTTTATATAAATATTGGGGAGTAACTATTTATAGGTAGATTTAAAAATTAAAAAAGAAGATAAGTTGAGATAGAAATAATATATTTAAGTATAGAAATTTTATAAAACATACCATAAAAAAAATGTCTATCATATGTCACAATTATGATCTTCGTGGTCTTTAGTTATGACACATTATAGTGTTAGATATAATTTAGTTATAACTTCTTGTGGCTGTCATTTTAGTTATGACTATATGTCAAGTAATAGTTAGTTATGACTCATTTTGATATTAGTTCTGATCGATTGTAATTTTTTTATAATTGAAGATGTGTTGCTTGATTATAATTTATATAGTGATCATTTTAGTTATGAATGGAAAGAAACATATGGAGGACAAACTCTACATGTCAAATGTACCTAACAATTCAATAAATTTCATATATCTTCATTGAGGTTAATTATGTTTGCATGTCAATAATGATAGATATCACCATTATATTGAAATTTTCATAAATAATAATATAACTAATCATAATCTCTTTACTTTCAATTAAAATAACCATTATTGTTTTCATAATTTTAAAAATGTCATTGATATTTCACTTTAAATAATGTTTTTATAAACTTTTTTATTTAACATTTTTTTTTTATGTTTGAAAAAAAAAAATTTAAAAAACCCAGGAGGGGCACGTGACCCCCTGGCCCTTGTGTGCCTCCGCCTTTGATTACGTTCATCGAATTTGGGTCCATCCAATTTGGGTCCATCCGAATTACTCGAATTTATGCATGCTGGTCATCCAATCGATCATTTGGTAGGATGCTGGTTATCCGGGCGAATGTCAGTTAACACACCGGTAGACAAGGTGACAGCTACAGTTACTAAGGGTGACGCCGGTTGTCTGAACAATCGTCTAAGAGTGGATAAAAATTCAGTATATTTTCGTATTCTTACGTATTTATTAATTTTTTAAAATATTTTTTTACAAATATTTTACTTTTTAAGTACATCTAGGTTAAATGCATCTAAAAAACAAAAAACTTGCCTAAAATATTTTAAAAATTCACTAAAAATAAAAAAAAATATATTAAAAACAAAAAAACTCAATTTTCTAAAATTTTCAAAAAATTGAATTTCAACAAATTGGAATCAAACGATAATTTTTCATCTCAAAAATGAAAATTTTAAATTTTAAATAAAAAATTTGGGTATTAGTCCAGTTGAGTATTCTTTAGGCAGTAATTGAATTTTAAAATTATTATTAATTGATTAATTCTATAGAAATTAATTTGGAAAATAAATTAGTTACAATTACACAGGCACACACATAGAGTAGTAAGAAATTTTTTACTCAATTTATTTTTCCACGAAGGACCCTAGATAATTCTAAATGAGATTTTTTATGTATATTTTTTATTTTTTTGCAAAATATATTATTTAAAAGGGAAAATTACACTAACGGTCCCTATAGTTTGGGACTTGTGTCACTTTGGTCCCTCACTTTTCAGTTGTGACATATTTAACCATGAATTTTGAATCTTGTTCCAAATAAGGACAATTGAAGATATCATTGCTTAATTTCAAGGGCAAAATCGTTAATTTGATAAAATATAAATTAATTTGACAAAAATAAATGTCAAAAAAATATTTTTGAATTTTAAAAAATTATTTCTACCCACTAAAAATAAAATTATGTAAAATTGATAAATCTTTTAGACATTTTTTTTTCATTTTACCAAATTAATTTTTATTATGTGTTTGGATGATGATCAGTAATGAGTGGTTGTTTTTATTTTCATTAAATTAATTTCTATTTTTTCAAAAGTCAAATATAACAACAATTTTGATATCGTTATTAAACCAATCCATTAAATTAAAAAATCCAAAATTAAAAACATTTTATATATTAAATATATTGATTACACATTAAGATCTTAACAACCACCCATTACATGATCATCATCCAAACATATAATAAAAATTAATTTGATAAAAATAAATAAATGTCCAAAAAAATTATCAATTTTATACAATTTTATTGTGGAAATAATTTTTTAAAATTAAAAAATATTTCATTGACATTTATTTTTGTCAAATTAGTTTATATTTTATCAAATTGACAATTTTACCATTGAAATTAAGCAATATTATCTTTAATTGTCCTTATTTGGAACAAGATTCAAAATGTAAGGTCAAATGTGTCACAATTAAAAAGTTAGAGACCAAAGTGACATGAATCCCAAACTGTAGAAACTATTAGTTTAATTTGCCCTATTTAAAATTAAATTATTTTCATTATTGAGATAAAAAAAATTATTTATTAAATATTTTAATTAATTTTTTTTTCATATTTGGAGATTTGATTGATTTTTAAATATAGTTTGAGAGAAACGAAATTCTAAATGAAATTAGTACCATATTAACAACTTCTGTTTGATTGTAAATAGAAGCCAATGGAAGAGAATAAATTGATCAAATTTAAAAAAAATTAAGGGCCAAATTAAAATAATGTGAAGTCAGAGTGCCAAATTAATTTTCGCCCAATAATTTAAGAAGCAAAATGATATTTCCCCTTTAAGTTTTTAACATCTCTTCTACAATAATAAACAGCAAAAACCATATGAATTAGGTTTGTAAAATCTCTTCTTCTAATAGATAGAAGCAGCTGTGGAATTTGAAATAACACAATAAGCTAGACATATTAAAAATAAAAAGACTAGTGCCATCCAGAAACAGCTTGCATTTTGGTACATGAGCAAAGCCATGAGAACTACACTCTTATTTATAACATTAAAAAACATAAAAGTTCATCAATCCAAACATCTGGTAGAACAGTCGCGCGAGCGAACGTTCAATTTTCTACAAAGCTAGCCCTGCCAAAGGTGCCACAAAGTAAATAAGCCCTGCAAACAAAACCCATTAAATAAATCAATCAAATGTGTAAATACAATCCAATATTCAAAAAACTTGAAAACATACAGAGCGCTTGTGTAAAAATCCCATTCTCATAAGCAGGCACAAACTTATCTCATAAAATAGATTCAAGTTAATATACTCTTGAGGCAGAGTTTGGTCAAGACCGAACCTCCATTAATATTTCCCACAGATTTTATCATCGCCTAAACTTGTTGAACCTGATATGACATATCTAAAAGCCTTGATGCACACATGAAACCTCTTAAATCAAATCTCTAAAGAACTAACATGCTAGTTGTTTTCCTAATTTTCTGACCACACTCATGCTTGGTGCCTTTGTAAATAAATTAACCACAAGTATGAAGACGACTCCTAGTAAATTAGTTCACTCACTTGCTCATAATATATCAAATTCTAAATTTAATGGCAGAAACTAACAAATGCCATGGCAAATTGCCACGCAATGTCAAAGCAGTAAAATAGATAATTTAAATCATCTGTTATGCCAGAGTAAAGTAAGCCAGAATTCATAAATGGGTACAATTCCACTACTATCACAGTTAAAATCCAACTTTCCTATACGTAAATTCTAAAGCAGAAATTTTCTTTTTTATAACAAAGGAAGCTCACTCTCAACATAATTATTACACACCAACTGTAATAGCAAAAATCTCATCCTCCAAACAAACCAATTAGCCCTCATCCCTTATTCCCTAGATTTAATTAGCCCCAAACTTGCAGCCCCTAGAAAGGAATGGAAGTCACCAACTACTAGTTTTTTTTCTAGCCTTCGGATCTTCAAGGATAAAGAAAATTACCCAAGTTTGCAGCATAACGTGGACACTATCGATCCAGAATAGCTTCAAAAAGCATCATATAACATTCTGAAAAGAACATACACTTGCCCTTTAATGTTTCTTACACCTCAATACCATCCAAGGACAAGTCCAAGGATTTGACTGCATTTCATGAATTATGAATCTAACTTTCTTAGATCAGTAAAATAAAACATGGGTACTTCAAAAATGTTTCCATACTCGTACCGGATATTTACCGGGTACTGGTACTCGTACTGATAGGGTTGAATACGTACTGGATACTCGAAATATGTACTGGATACTTCTTATACATTCTTTGGTAGTTGGGTACTCCATGGATACTTCATGGGTACAGGATGGATACATTGAGGGTACACCAAGTTATGGGACATTGGTGGAGATACGTTTAATTTATTAGAGAGTTCTGATTTACTTAAAACTACAAATCCTTTACTTGATGCCATGGATGAAAGATGTATTATTCAAGGGCCTTCAGAACCACCTAAGCTAAAACTGGCACCTGAGGAATTCCAACTCCTGCTGACATACTATTTACCCGGCGGGTAATAGGGAGAAGGACTTCGACTGAGACTCTTGAAACATCAAGTGCGCTTTCGTCCCCAGAAAGGGATGCCCCTTATATTTTATTATTTTCTTTCTATGTGTAGGTGTTTTCATCTCTCGTTGGACGATTCCAAACTCTTTGCTTAGCTAAAAGATGTTAAACACTATTGCATCTAAGGTCATTCGCTGCTTGGGCCAGCGTTTCCAACTCTAGAATTAATACCACATATCGGAGGTGCCCCATCTTGACCTGCGGCTAGCATCTCAGGGTCCATGCACATCCGAGGGGAAGCCAGATCCAGATCCTTTGGGAATTAGTTTGTCGGCCACCCCACTTGCCCAAAAGCGGATTCTTAAGATTTTGAACTCCTAGTACGCCCGTCATAGCATCTTGGAAAGAACAATTGCATTGTCAAAGTGTCCATCGCAAGCTCTAACATCCGAAGCCAGAGTCGTTGCTGAGCTAGAAGCCACATCCATATTCACGTCCGAGCCCTATAAAGTAAGGGGCCTGATTCCAGATCCGAAGCAGCAGCAGCCACCAAAGAAGGAGCAGCTTATGACTTTGAAGCAGTAGGATATGCCTTTTCTTTCCATTATGTACTTCGTTAGCTAGGAGTGGGGAGGAATCCCAGTAGTGGAACCTAATCAATTGACATCGGGGATAGAACAAAATCCGACTCTTATCAGATTCTCCTTTTCCTTATATTATAGTTCAAACTCACTTAAGAGCTCTTAATCAAATATGCTAAAAATGTGCTATGCTAAGTAGGTTGATGGACAGAGACAGAGGTCGACTTTAATCATATGCTTGCTCGTTGCGGAACTCTTTCTGGATTTCGATCTGGAAAACGACGACCACCAGGATTGACACTCTGAAGAAAGGGATGTAAGGGAGGGGGTCGGATTTGTTAGGATGAAAGGCCTACGCGTCTTGGGATATTCGTGCAAATCCAATGTTGTTAGACGTGGCTCCAAGAGGGACACCGGAGATATATATGATATCAATCCTTGTACTTTCCTTTCGTCCGGTCTACCACTTACTGGTTGTTCATTCAAGGGGTCAGCTAGAAACAAGTTTTGCTCAGTCAGGAAGAAAACGACTGCGCTAACGATTGCTTTCTTCACTTCTTCAATTAGTTACAAGGCAGGCAGGGATTCTTTCTTTTCCCTCTCTTCGTCCTCGCTTGCCTTTAGCTCTAGCTACCTTGTCTTAGCTAGCCCTTTTGGACTTGCTTTCCTTGCCTTGCGCTGAGCGGACCCGAAACGCCCACCACCCTCCTTTTCATCTCAATTTCGCTTGATCGCTTTGTACTGAATACGGTAGAGCGCGGAGCCCAAAAATTTTAAGTTTTCAAATTTTGTTTAGTTCACTTTTGGAATGAAACTTTATTTTGTAATTTCTCCAATTTAATTGCATTAAAACAACTTATAAACTTTGCTTTGGTAGTGATATTGTTGAACTATGATTTCTCTTTTGAATTTATAATTTTTTCTTTTAGTTTCAGTATTGAACTTTGATTTGTAGATTGAATCTCAAATTATAAGTTAAAAAAAATAAAAAATTGATTGATGTACCCTAACTGTACCCTTATCCTATTTTTTTTTAAGTTTTGCTATATCGGCGTACTCGTACCAATATTCGTAAAAACACCCGTGCTTCATAGGTAAACCCTTGACGATAATACATGAAAATTAAATATAGTGCAAATGATCAATTATGTTCACTATGAATACAAATTAACTAAACAAATAATAAATAACATATCGTTTAATTTATACATCAATCAACAAAATCATAAGCCAAAACCCACAGGGTACATTTCCATCAACATCCATTGAGATACGCCATCTTCGGCACAAACATGCCCCCAAACTATCAATATTCAACAGAAAGAAAAATATAATCTCAAAGAACAAACTTATCAACACTAGGATAATGACTGTCTTTGTTCAAGCTATATAAATACAATTTTATAAATTGGTTTTCTGAACAATTATAAGGTATTTAGCCTTGGCCAGTGTACGGGGAGCAAATATTCCGGCGTGCCCGTATTCCTTTCTTCCGAGCTCCGTCGATGTCCGATCACCTGCGAGTCAATAAGGATGAGCTACCCGGCGGTGTGTGGCCGGAAAAACCCTCCGACGGTCAAGTTAGCACACACCTTAGAGGGAATAGAGAGAAGGGAGAGAGTGTTTGAGTGTAAGGATTTTCTTACAGAGTGTTCGTCTGTCGCGTATGGGGGGCGCAGACATGCTTACATACCTTCTGTGCCCCATATCCACTCCCTGTCATCTCCTGACACGTGGCTCTGCTATCCCATCTGTCAGCATAAACCATGCCGTTCATCACCTGCTCTCAACTGCCTGCCAGCATAGCTGGAGCTCGGCAGCCGAGCTGCCCTACCTCGGTCATACCATGCTTCATACCTTAAGCGCCCGACCGGATAACCGAATGAAGGACCGGGCTAGGCGGCATCTCGGCAAAGCTTAGCCCGGGCTCCTCCTTTGGTCGGTCTTCTCGCCGGTCAGTCAACTACCTCGGCTGACCGCGCCTTTCCGAGCGCCGGCCTCTCGGTCTGTCTGATCTCGACAATCCTCGGACCGAGCATCCCGGTCTGACCGGTCACTTCCTGGCCGAGTACCTTCTGCACGGTTCGGGGCAGCACACAGTCCAAACTCTGCCCGGCCCAAGTTCTGGTAGCCCATCTCCGGGTGAACAGTCGATCATCTCGGCCCAATGCTCTGCTGGGCCCCCAACCTGTTCGGTTTATACCTCGGCCCAACGCCGGAGCATAAATCACCCTCTCAGCCAGTATCATTCTTCCTTAAAAGATAATTGAGCTAAAAATCTTAATTTTTTAAATTTACAAGTCCAACATTTTGCAGCCATGCCAAATCTTTACACCCATAATTGCACAAATCTTTAAATTTTTTTATTTATTTATTTCCAATTATGTAATGAACATGGAAATCATACAAAATAGTTCTGATCAATCCAAAACAATGATATCCTAAGTGCAAGATTTAGTTGAACTTAGAAAGAATAACAAAAATTACAAGGTTTATGAAAAATTAAGATTCTCTAAGGTTGAAAGCCCCCCTAGGTTCTAAGCTCAATCCTATTAAGGCAGAATTGTTGACTGAATATTCAACGCACTACTGCTGTGAAGTTGTTGAGCTTTTGAGAATGGAGCTGCCCCAATGTGATCTGTTCACAATTATACCTTGAAATCCATCTTTGTGGCAGTCATTATAACAAATGATATGATCATGGTCAAATTTGGAAGTGTTTTTTCTTGCAAACCTAAAAGGGGTTCAAAATCATCATATGTGGTGACAAATCCAATCTCTTGATTCGCATAAGAATCATCTTCGACAATGTAGCAGTTTTTTTATTGTTTATTTTTCCATGGGCTTAAATTTTAAAGGAAAAAAAAAAATCAAGGCCAGCACACTGATTTATTTCCTAGGCAGCCTCCATTCATGTCTGGGTTTGCATTCATGGCCAGCACAAACATTTACAATCATGAGTACACTCCATACCACCACATATATATATATATATATATATATATTCCAGTTTAACATGAAATGCAACAGATACTTAAAATCAAGCAAAAAAACATCAGCAGTGAGCAAATTTTCTGATATAGAACAATTCATAAGAATATATAAACTTATTTTTAAGAGCTCGTAAAAGCATATAGAGTTGAATCTATACCACAATTCTAAGCAGCCTGAGATGGAATCATCCCAGCTTTCCTCGCATATGCGAAAATCCCACCGGCCTCAATAACCGGCCCAGCATCCCCAATTGGCTTCATCTTATACTCCTTTCCAGTCGTATGATTAATCAACTTGTTCTCTCCGAGCTCAATGGTCACCACATCCCCAGTCTTACACTCCTCACAAATCCTCACCTCCGATTCCAACGGATACACCTCGCCGGTAGCCACCGAGTTCCTGAAGAATATCCTGGCGTAGGACTCCGCCACCACCGCCGCCACTCCCGCCGCCCCCAGCGCCACCGGAGCGTGCTCGCGGGACGATCCGCAGCCGAAGTTGTCGCCGGCGATGACGATGGAGTACTTGGATTTGAACTGGTTGGGGTCCATGAATCGGATCGGGTAGGAGGAGGGGAGTCCGATTAGGGCGTAGGAACCGAGCTTCTTGTATTCATCGGGGTTGGAGGGGACTAGGGTTAGGTATTCGGCGGGGATGATTTGGTCGGTGTCGATGTTGTCGCCGACGACGTAGCAGAGGCCGTGGAAGGAGGTGGCGGTGGTGGAGGCGGAGGCGGTGGTGGTGGAGCGGCGGAGGGTGAGGGGAAGTGGTGGTGAGAGAGGGAGGGGAGAGGAAATGAGGGGTTTGGAATGGGAGATTTGGGGATTGGTGAGTTTGATGATGGAGGGATGAGAGAGAGAGGGGTGTTTGGGAGGAGAGAGAAAGCTAGGGTTTGGTAAATGTGTATGGAGAGAAGATGAGGTCGCCATTGATGAGAGCTGAAGAGGTCACACTTTGCTTGGTTGCTCTCTGTGAAAAATGCCCCTTTTGTTTTTGGTGTTGTGTCACTGTGTTTAGCTTAGCTAATGGCTGCTGCGCCGCCGGTTGACCAGACAATCAAAAAGAAACATAAGCAACGACGTCGTATATGTGGACTACGTACGTACATTCTCGGTATGGTTGGGTCAAGGGTAACACCAAGTTGATCCAAACTCGACCCCCTTGTATGTGGCCCAAAGCACAGCCCGATCGTTTCTCACGAGCCCAATGTTCTTTTTAATTAATTTTTTTTTCCTTCTTGTTTTTTGGCTGGATCCTACTTGAGATTGCAAACGAATTTAACTAGGCCTGACTTATTAAGGGTTTGGTTTGGCACGATTTCGGGTAAGTTTGGGAATTCCTATAATAATAAAGAAGTCAAAAAATTAAAAATTATACAAAAAGTTTAAAATTTTATTTTCTTTTTACTTTTTGTATGTATATATATATTTTTTTTGTAAAAAGTTAAAAAATATTCTAAATATATTAATTTTCGACAATACTACGTAGCTCAAATTTTGTGGCTCAAAAGTGGCTCAAATGGCCAAAACGACGTCGTTTTAAGTACAAAACAACATAAAAATGGCCAAAACGACGTCGTTTTGGCAATTTGAGCCACTTTTGAACCACAAAATTTGAGTTACGAGACATTTTCCATTAATTTTTTTTCACCTTATATTTTAGCTAAAAAAATCACAATGTTATTAAAATAACGTATTTCCAAACCAACCCTTATTAAGTAAATAAAGAAATTCATGCTAGACTTTTAAACTCAGTTTAAAAAATGAACCAAACTCAAATTTGAATAAGTTTACTCCTCAAGGTCAACTTGTTTATTTTTATGGAGCTTCGAGGCCACTTGAATCAAGCTCGAGTTTGAGAAGTATTTGAGTTGAATTGGAGCTCAATAATCGAACTCGATAGCAAATGAAGCCCTTTCCACACCACATTGGGCTGAACCTAAAAAAAAAAAAACAGAACATCAGGCTCAAGCCCAGTCCGTATAGCGATGAGCTGAACCTCTCGTCCTCTTATAAGAAATGCGGTTCTAGTTAGGGTTTCTCTACAAACCCTCAGCAACAAACCCTAGATCAGTACCTGACTGCGGGTCACAGCATCAATGGGTATGCTCTGTCTCTCTTCTATCTCCTATCTCTGTCTACTCGGATCTACTCTTTCAACATCATTCAATTTGCTGACTGATTCATTTGCTACGAAATTCGAATTTATATATACATTTTCAAGTGTTGTTTGTGGTATATATGTTGTATAGCTATGTATATCTGAATATATGAATACATTTGTATAATCGTAACAGGGGCTTACACATACGTATCGGAGCTATGGAGGAAGAAGCAATCGGATGTGATGAGGTTCTTGCTGAGGGTGAGGTGTTGGGAGTATCGCCAGCTGCCTTCCATTGTTCGGGTCAATCATCCCACTCGCCCTGACAAGGCTCGCCGTTTGGGCTACAAGGCCAAGCAGGTAATCTATGATTTTTTTTTATTTTTATTTTTTTCAAAAATCTTGTATTTTTTTGTGTACACTATATTGCATAGATGAATGCATATTTAATGTTTGGAGATTTACCTTGAAAAATGTTTAATAAACATGGTTCTGTAATTGTGGTTAGCAAAATTTAAATTTTGAAAATATACACAACATATTTTTGGGTGTTAATTTCTATGTTGTGCATGTATGTTACAGAGACTAGACAGTGCTTTGGGAACTAGGTGCTCATATTTTAATCATGTCATTTATGAACTTTGCTAAACGTCAATTAAATTACAAGATGATGGATAAGTTATACGGTTTTGGAGGCATAATGGTTAGACATAGGTCTAGCGTCGGCTAGATGTAGGTAATTTTAGTTTTTGCAGTTACAGTTTCAATTTGTGATCGGCCATTAAATTACAAGATGATGGATAAGTTATAGAGACATGATGGCTAGATATAGGCCTAGGGTCGTCTAGATGTAGGTAATTTTAGTTTTTGCAGTTACAGTTTCAATTTGTGATCGTCCATTACAAGATGATGGATAAGTTACAGGGTTTTGGAGACATAATGGCTAGATATAGGTCTACGATCATCTAGATGTAGGTAATTTTAGTTTTTACAGTTACAGTTTCAATTTGTGATCGTCCATTAGTGTTCTTACTTTAAAAAAAAAAAATTACATTACTGTTCTCTAGTGCTGTCATCATCACTGCATCCATGAGGTACTCAATGTTGATTTGACTCTTCTGAATTATTCCAAATTGGCAAGCATGAGGTTTCTTTTACTTCATTTGTCTCTGATCTGATCTTTATGCCTTACCTGTGAAGGTCTTCTCCTCATGGTGGATCAGTTATTTGTTGCTTTACATTTGTATTCATAGGGCATTTGTAGAAGTTGGTTTGTTTTAAGTAGAATAGACCAAATAAAATTTTAATATTGAGGTTTAGGGTCTTCTATATTTTTCTGCTGCTTTGAACAAGGTTAGGTTGGCACTGAATACAATTAAATTAGTTCTCAACTTATTGGGGATTGACTAGCGTGATAGCAAACAAGTTGGACTTCCTTTCGTTTATGCTACATTTTATTCTCTCTTTTTTGTGTGATATTTTTCCCATGAAATGATATTTTGTAATGATCTTCATGCTTTTATGCTTTTCTAATATGTCATTTTTGCTCATTCGATTCTATAAGCTGATGCGAAGTCTTATCATCAAGTTCTATAGAAGATTGCTGATATAGTTAAGCACGATAAGTTTCTGATCATGTTGTAATTTAGTGGCCTTATAGATGAATGAAGTGGAGTTTTTTTTTTTTTTTGTTTTCCCCCCAGCTAACTTGCTGTTATAACTACAGCCATTACTGTGACATTGAACCTATGGTACCTTTAATTATCTGGTACATTGCAGAGACACTTACCACTAGTGAACTGCTTGTAGGGTTATGTGGTCTACCGTGTCCGTCTTATCAATGTGAATGTTAATATGTCAATGTGAATATTCACATTGTCAACAGGGCGGGTCGGGCCCGCCCTGAGCCGCCCACGGGTCGTGGGCTAGTTTCGGGCAGCCACGGGGCGCGGGCTAATTTTATACTCTTATCAATGTGAATGTTAACATCTCAATGTGAATATTTGCATTATCAACAGGTCGGGCCGGGCCCGCCCAGGGCAGCCCACGAGTCGCAAGCGAGTTTCGGGCCGGTCACAGGCCGCGGGCTAATTTTACACTCCTATCAATGTGAATGTTAACATGTCAATGTGAATATTCACATTCCCCGAGCCCGAGCCCGCCCCGACCCGACCCGACCCGAGCCCGGGCCTGGGTTTCGGGTTGCCCACGGGTCATGGGCCAATTTTACACTTTTGTCAATGTTAATGTTAATATGTCAATGTGAATATTCATATTGTGAACGGGCCGCCCCGGGCAACGGGCTGGTTTCGGGTCGCCCACGGGCCGCAGGCCAATTTTACACTCCTATCAATGTGAATGTTAACTTGTCAATGTGAATATTCATATTATCAACGGGCCGGGTCGGGCATATTTTTTTGGCTTGTGGGCCTGCCCGGCCCGTTTTTCCGGGCAGCCACGAGGATCGACATGAGCCGGGCCCCTACACATTGACGATATAAACATTTATATTGACGGTGTGAACATTCACATTAAGGGTATTTTGGTAATTATGTCACCCATAGGACTTATTGAAACATAAGAAAATAATGTGAACTAAATGAAATATAAGTAGATGAAAAAGATATTTTGATCTTCTTATCTCAAATTGGACCTAATGGAATAGTCAAAAAGAATATGGGTTGGATGGAATAAAGCTCTTAGAAAATAGATTTATCAAAAAAGCTCCCAAAAGTTTAAGATTTCATTTTCTTTTTACTTTTTGTATATATATATATATATATTTTTGTAAAAAGTCAAAAAATATTTTAAATATATTAATTTTTTTTCACCTCATATTTTAGTTAAAAAAGTCACAATGTTATTAAAATAACGTATTTCCAAACCAACCCTTATTAAGTAAATAAAAAAATTCAGGCCAAATTTTTAAACTCGTTTAGAAAATGGGCCAAACTCAAATTCGAATAAGTTTACTCGTCAAGGTCAACTTGTTTATTTTTATGGAGCTTCGAGGCGACTTGAATCAAGCTCGAGTTTGATAAGTATTTGAGTTGAATTAGAGCTGAATAATCGACCTCGATATCAAATGCAGCCCTTTCCACACCACATTGGGCTGAGCCTAAAAATAAAAAAAAAAACATCAGGCTCAAGCCCAGTCCGTATCGCGATGAGCTGAACCTCTCGTCCTCTTATAAGAAACGCGGTTCTAGTTAGGGTTTCTCTACAAACCCTCAGCAACAAACCCTAGATCAGTACTTGACTGCGGGTCACAGCATCAATGGGTATGCTCTGTCTCTCTTCTATCTCCTCTCTCTGTCTACTTGGATCTACTCTTTCAACATCATTCAATTTGCTGACTGATTCATTTGCTACGAAATTCGAATTTATATAAACATTTTCAAGTGGTGTTTGTGGTATATATGTTGCATAGCTATGTATATCTGAATATATGAATACATTTGTATAATCGTAACAGGGGCTTACACATACGTATCGGAGCTATGGAGGAAGAAGCAATCGGATGTGATGAGGTTCTTGCTGAGGGTGAGGTGTTGGGAGTATCGCCAGCTGCCTTCCATTGTTCGGGTCAATCATCCCACTCGCCCTGACAAGGCTCGCCGTTTGGGCTACAAGGCCAAGCAGGTAATCTATGATTTTTTTTTATTTTTATTTTTTTCAAAAATCTTGTATTTTTTTGTGTACACTATATTGCATAGATGAATGCATATTTAATGTTTGGAGATTTACCTTGAAAAATGTTTAATAAACATGGTTCTGTAATTGTGGTTAGCAAAATTTAAATTTTGAAAATATACACAACATATTTTTGGGTGTTAATTTCTATGTTGTGCATGTATGTTACAGAGACTAGACAGTGCTTTGGGAACTAGGTGCTCATATTTTAATCATGTCATTTATGAACTTTGCTAAACGTCAATTAAATTACAAGATGATGGATAAGTTATACGGTTTTGGAGGCATAATGGTTAGACATAGGTCTAGCGTCGGCTAGATGTAGGTAATTTTAGTTTTTGCAGTTACAGTTTCAATTTGTGATTGTCCATTAAATTACAAGATGATGGATAAGTTATAGAGACATGATGGCTAGATATAGGTCTAGGGTCGTCTAGATGTAGGTAATTTTAGTTTTTGCAGTTACAGTTTCAATTTGTGATCATCCATTACAAGATGATGGATAAGTTACAGGGTTTTGGAGACATAATGGCTAGATATAGGTCTAGGATCATCTAGTTGTAGGTAATTTTAGTTTTTACAGTTACAGTTTCAATTTGTGATCGTCCATTAGTGTTCTTACTTTAAAAAAAAAAAAATTACATTACTGTTCTCTAGTGCTGTCATCATCACTGCATCCATGATGAGTAAATGTTGATTTGACTCTTCTGAATTATTCCAAATTGGCAAGCATGAGGTTTCTTTTACTTCATTTGTCTCTGATCTGATCTGATCTTTATGCCTTACCTGTGAAGGTCTTCTCCTCATGGTGGATCGGTTATTTGTTGCTTTACATTTGTATTCATAGGGCATTTGTAGAAGTTGGTTTGTTTTAAGTAGAATAGACCAAATAAAATTTAATATTGAGGTTTAGGGTCTTCTATATTTTTCTGCTGCTTTGAACAAGGTTAGGTTGGCACTGAATACAATTAAATTAGTTCTCAACTTATTGGGGATTGACCAGCGTGATAGCAAACAAGTTGGACTTCCTTTCGTTTATGCTACATTCTCTCTTTTTTGTGTGATATTTTTCCCATCAAATGATATTTTGTAATGATCTTCATGCTTTTATGCTTTTCTAATATGTCATTTTTGCTCATTCGATTCTATAAGCTGATGCGAAGTCTCATCATCAAGTTCTATAGAAGATTGCTGATATAGTTAAGCATGTTAAGTTTCTGATCATGTTGTAATTTAGTGGCCTTAGATGAATGAAGTGGAGTTTTTTTTTTGTTTTCCCCCCAGCTGGTGCATAAGCATACGCATACATGTGCATTATATATACTGCGGTTTGACCACTCTGGCATTGGCTTTCAACTCTGCATTTGTACTTGTGGATGCTTCATTTTCTTAACGAGTCACGATCAACTATTAATGTGAATTAATTTTTTTTACACTTTTTTTGAAAATTAAATAGTCAAGTTAAGTAAATTGAACCATTGATTATGAGTTTACGACTGTAATATTCCTTCTGTACTTGTTCTTGCCTCGGGCAGCTTACCACTTAACTTGCTGTTATAACTACAGCCATTACTTTGACATTGAACCTATGGTACCTTTAATTATCTGGTACATTGCACAGACACTTACCACTAGTGAACTGCTTGTAGGGTTATGTGGTCTACCGTGTCCGTGTTAGGAGAGGTGGCCGCAAGAGGCCTGTTCCCAAAGGTATTGTGTATGGTAAGCCTACAAACCAGGGTGTTACTCAACTGAAGTTTCAGCGCAGCAAGAGGTCAGTTGCAGAGGAACGTGCGGGTCGAAAGTTGGGAGGCCTTAAGGTTCTGAACTCTTACTGGATCAATGAGGTTTGTGGTTTAACTTAAATCCTGTCTTCTTGTGCGGCTATATTGCGTGTTCACTGTGGTTATTTATGCCCAAATTTTTTTGATGTAGGATTCAACTTATAAGTACTTTGAGGTAATTCTTGTTGATCCTGCACACAATGCTATCCGTAATGACCCAAGAATCAACTGGATCTGCAACCCTGTTCATAAGCATAGGGAGCTCCGTGGGCTCACTTCTGCAGGAAAGAAATACAGAGGCCTTCGTGGAAAGGGACATTTGAATCACAAGGCACGCCCTTCTCGCAGGGCAACCTGGAAGAGGAACAACACTCTCTCCCTCCGTCGCTATCGTTGATTATGCTGCAATCACTTGGTATCTTGGCACTATTATTATGTCTATTTTGTTTGAATATGACATTAGGTTTGCTCTGTCAATGAGGTTGAAATTTTGATTTTGAGAATTCTGAAATCCTGTTCCAGCTTAAGGGTTTGAACTCATGATGTTAATTTAGTCAATTCGGATTTTGTGTTGCAACTGATAAATTTGTTTTTCATATAGCATTAGTCATGAATTTTCAAGAATTATTTGATAGAATATGTGAATTGTGAAATGCAAGTGTCATTATAGTGACCCAACTGGACTCTCCCACAAAGCAGAAACAAGTGGGAAGTTATTTCATCTCTTTTGTTGTATTTTAGTTTATTGTTTTATTTTTCAGAAAACATAACTTGTTTAACCAAGTAATTTTAAAATTGTTTTTTATGAAAATTTTATGAAAAGAGTCCACTTTTAGAAAACACTGAACAGTAATTTTTGAATTTTTGTTAACTGTTTCACTCAATCAAAGATGATGAGAAAGTGATCAGTGCTTTTGAATGTCATTAATGTTATTTATGACAACAAACAAAAATCCATCCAAAAAAGGCTGCTGTCTAATGTTTCTTCGGTTTTTAGCACAAAAATGAAGATGATTTTTAATTTTTAATTGAGCTTTGTATAGTGACTCAGGGATCAAAGAAAAAAAAGAGATGGGAAGTTTTAATTGTAGTTCTACAGGTTTTCAAAACTTTTATCACATGCAACTTTTGATGGCTTCATTGACATTTGACTTGTATTTGATTTTATACTTGGTTGTGGGTATAGTTTCTTCACTCTTCAAGCTTCATGGGCTCAACTATCAAATTTGTATTTTTGTTTTGAGCGTGTGGCACTAGATTTACAGAGAGAGAGAGAGAGAGAGAGAGATTTGCAGATCTTATATATACATATTTGCCGCAAGAACATATAACCATTGATGGGGCTTGTAATAGAACTCTATATGCTTCCATTTATATAGCTGTCTTTGAGATTCTGCAATGTTTCTCGGATTGAATCTTCATCTTGGCTGGAGTATTTCAAGCATATCAGCCGTTGAGCAACACGGTAAACCATCTGGATATCTTGATACTGCAGACAGTTTACTTCCATTCTCTTCACTGCCTATAAAAAAAAAAGAGAAAGGCATTATTAGCAAACAACCCAAAAGACACCTCAGGTACCCTCATGAAGATTAAAAATACAGTGTTATAAAACTTAATATGTAAATTTTGTTTTTTATCAACCAGAGAGTATCAGTAGAGGGAAAATGGTACCTAAACTTCTTATTCCCATGAGCAAATTATCTGACTGTAGCAATAAATATTTTAAGCTAAGCATGAGGCATGCAACTGGAAAATTCTGAACTCATTTTTTTTTTTTTTGACGTCATGGCTCCTTAGAAGTCAAGGATTCAGAGGTATGATCCTATAGAACAGATCCTGTTCAAGTAAGGTCCTGAACTCATTATTTTTGCTCAATAGAAATATCACCTTTTCTGTTATCCTTGCTGTGATGATTTTGGCTGTTTCAATGACCGAGCTAGGTAATCCAGCCACTCCTGCTAACAGAAGCCCGTAGTGTGGTACACATAGCAGTCCATCTTGGAGTTGAAACTGTTTGATTTGAATTCAGAATTTTGATCAAAAGATGCTGCTCTATGGAGAGAAATTGCCATCAAAAGAAATTATGAAGCATCACCTTGAAATCCAAGCGATTGCTCTTGACATCAACGAGAAAGTGAAGAATTTTGACATTAGGGTAGATGGTAGCTAATTCTGATAGGTTCTCCATGTGAGTAGCAAATATGGTATACCTGAAAATAAACCAAGAAGATGTGTCTGTTTGGAGAAAATAACATTGGTTGCTTCAACGCGTTCCAAGTGAAATATGAATTCAGACATTCAAAAGTTCTCTGTCAAAAATTTCGTTTTGCAAAAGCATCAGTGAATTGATAATTTCTCTTGAAAATGTGAACTAAAAGGAGATGAGCAACATGCCACAAACTTTAGGAGAATATCAAAATCCACTGTAATGAAAAATGGAAGCTTCAGGACCAAAAAAGATAAGCAACAAGCTTAACAAGTTAAAAATAAAAATAAAAATAAAAATTCATTACTAAAAGGTTTCACGACTTAAAACTGCTGCCATCAATTGATTTTAGACATTTGATTTTTTTTTTAATTATTTATTTATTTTATGTGTAAGATCTAACACAACACATTCTGTTGAACATTAATTGTTGAAAAAGGTTCCATATGTTGCCGTGATTGCATTAATTGTTAATGACTAGCACAACTACTAAAATGGTTTATGTGGTCGAAGTAAGTTTCTGCAACTTATCATCAAGATTCTCAAATTTTTTATTTTTTAATTTTTTTTTATTTTTTTTTTGTGGAATACATAAACGAAATATCACTGACTATAACCAAGCTTCTTCTATATGCCGAGGTTATATATTTAGATTTTTGAAAAACCAATATTTAAGAAGCTTTTGATTATTGCAACTATGAAGAATGGCAGAAAGGATAGAGCTCAAGACGTTACGCTTTGAGTGGTAAAAGATGTTCACAGCAGCTCCATGCGATTGCAAATCCATCAGAGGAAGAAGTGGCCCTTCCCAGTTCATCCATAACAATTAGACTCCTGTGCCCAATTGAACACAAGAACAGAACAGTACATTCTTTAAGGAAACCAATGTATATTCCAATACTCAGAGTACAATTATGGTATATGTACCTTTCGGAAACATTCTGCATGATAAAAGCCGTCTCTTTCATTTCCGTCATAAACTGTAAAATACATAAAAACTTTAGAACAAATGATGCATTGCCAATGCTGATTCATTTAAAGAAAAATTAATAATAAAAAATAAATAAATAGAAGCGCAAACAAATAATTAGTAAACCTAGTATTACAACCACTTATTACAAACCAAGTCCGTTGTGTTGCAAACATTTATTACTAACGTTGTTATTATCTAATAAGATTGCCAGAATGCACCTTGTTTATTAAGAAACAGTCAGCTAATCAATGGATCTAAGAGCGCTGCAAGAAAGATCTGAACTCAACTCAAGCTACAACGCGTAAATTAAATATATCATAAACCAACATGATCATGAGTCATGAGCCATTTGAGATTGACACTAAACAATTTGATGGTCTAAAAATGACTTCATATGAGCTAAAAGATTGGTAGAGGTATGTGGGAGCTGGATAATTGGAAGAGTCGGAAGCGTATTCTGGAAGGCAGACACTACTAGGCTCTATCCTACACGATCAGAATGCCAAATAATACAGATAGGCCGAATCAATATTGAACTATGGAGCTGAGTAAATAAGAGGATGATGAGTGAAAAGTGGGCCTGGCCCCGAGACCCAGGGAACAAATATAAATAAAGGAGCAACAGAATAAGAAAGGAATGTGAGAATTGTTGTGCTAAACATAGAATACAAGCATTCTTGAGTTTGTAGACTGACTTGTCCGTCGGAGTGCTAATTCCGACACCCCCGACCGGAGTGTTTATTCCTTTTCAGGTGTCTATCAGCGGATCACGAACTCCCCCCAGGATCAGAAAAGTATTTCCAAACCACTTCCCCACAATTGGCGCCGTCTGTGGGAATACTCAAACACCTCCATGGCGGGCGCAATGGAAGACCCTCCGATAGCCACTGATGAAACGACGCAAAGAGACGACCTCACTCCATCAAACATGCTTGGACCGGACGCCATCCCTGTAAGACGAGCTTTGAACTTCGCCTCACCCTCGACTTCAGAGCATGAAGCAATGCAAGCGATCATAGAACAAGCAAAGCAAAACGAACAAAGGTTGGAGAACATGATCGCGGAGAACGAACGTCTTCATGAAGATTTGGCCTTGGAAGTGGCGAAGTCCAAACAAGCTATACGCCTAAATCCGGATCGATCTCCGAAGGCAAGTGGTTGACGACCTCGAGCCCGACAAGGCGACACTGATAGCGGCTCCGACTCGTTATCCCCGAAGCCCAGGAAGAAGGGGCAACCTGAAACTATCAGTTCTTCTGAAGAAAGTCCCCGTATAAGGCACAAGCGAAGAAGGCACAGTTGCTAAGCATGAGGCATGCAACTGGAAAATTCTGAACTCATTTTTTTTTTTTTTGACGTCATGGCTCCTTAGAAGTCAAGGATTCAGAGGTATGATCCTATAGAACAGATCCTGTTCAAGTAAGGTCCTGAACTCATTATTTTTGCTCAATAGAAATATCACCTTTTCTGTTATCCTTGCTGTGATGATTTTGGCTGTTTCAATGACCGAGCTAGGTAATCCAGCCACTCCTGCTAACAGAAGCCCGTAGTGTGGTACACATAGCAGTCCATCTTGGAGTTGAAACTGTTTGATTTGAATTCAGAATTTTGATCAAAAGATGCTGCTCTATGGAGAGAAATTGCCATCAAAAGAAATTATGAAGCATCACCTTGAAATCCAAGCGATTGCTCTTGACATCAACGAGAAAGTGAAGAATTTTGACATTAGGGTAGATGGTAGCTAATTCTGATAGGTTCTCCATGTGAGTAGCAAATATGGTATACCTGAAAATAAACCAAGAAGATGTGTCTGTTTGGAGAAAATAACATTGGTTGCTTCAACGCGTTCCAAGTGAAATATGAATTCAGACATTCAAAAGTTCTCTGTCAAAAATTTCGTTTTGCAAAAGCATCAGTGAATTGATAATTTCTCTTGAAAATGTGAACTAAAAGGAGATGAGCAACATGCCACAAACTTTAGGAGAATATCAAAATCCACTGTAATGAAAAATGGAAGCTTCAGGACCAAAAAAGATAAGCAACAAGCTTAACAAGTTAAAAATAAAAATAAAAATAAAAATTCATTACTAAAAGGTTTCACGACTTAAAACTGCTGCCATCAATTGATTTTAGACATTTGATTTTTTTTTTAATTATTTATTTATTTTATGTGTAAGATCTAACACAACACATTCTGTTGAACATTAATTGTTGAAAAAGGTTCCATATGTTGCCGTGATTGCATTAATTGTTAATGACTAGCACAACTACTAAAATGGTTTATGTGGTCGAAGTAAGTTTCTGCAACTTATCATCAAGATTCTCAAATTTTTTATTTTTTAATTTTTTTTTATTTTTTTTTTGTGGAATACATAAACGAAATATCACTGACTATAACCAAGCTTCTTCTATATGCCGAGGTTATATATTTAGATTTTTGAAAAACCAATATTTAAGAAGCTTTTGATTATTGCAACTATGAAGAATGGCAGAAAGGATAGAGCTCAAGACGTTACGCTTTGAGTGGTAAAAGATGTTCACAGCAGCTCCATGCGATTGCAAATCCATCAGAGGAAGAAGTGGCCCTTCCCAGTTCATCCATAACAATTAGACTCCTGTGCCCAATTGAACACAAGAACAGAACAGTACATTCTTTAAGGAAACCAATGTATATTCCAATACTCAGAGTACAATTATGGTATATGTACCTTTCGGAAACATTCTGCATGATAAAAGCCGTCTCTTTCATTTCCGTCATAAACTGTAAAATACATAAAAACTTTAGAACAAATGATGCATTGCCAATGCTGATTCATTTAAAGAAAAATTAATAATAAAAAATAAATAAATAGAAGCGCAAACAAATAAGTAGTAAACCTAGTATTACAACCACTTATTACAAACCAAGTCCGTTGTGTTGCAAACATTTATTACTAACGTTGTTATTATCTAATAAGATTGCCAGAATGCACCTTGTTTATTAAGAAACAGTCAGCTAATCAATGGATCTAAGAGCGCTGCAAGAAAGATCTGAACTCAACTCAAGCTACAACGCGTAAATTAAATATATCATAAACCAACATGATCATGAGTCATGAGCCATTTGAGATTGACACTAAACAATTTGATGGTCTAAAAATGACTTCATATGAGCTAAAAGATTGGTAGAGGTATGTGGGAGCTGGATAATTGGAAGAGTCGGAAGCGTACTCTGGAAGACAGATACTACTCGGCTCTATCCTGCACGATCAGAATGCCGAATAATACAGATAGGCTGAATAGATATTGAACTATGGAGCCGAGTAAATAAGAGGATGATGAGTGAAAAGTGGGCCTGGCCCCGAGGCCAAGGGAACAAGTATAAATAAAGGAGCGACAGAATAAGAGAGGCATGTGAGAATTGTTGTGCTTAACTTAGAATACAAGCATTCTTGAGTGTAGAGACTAACTTGTCCGTTGGAGTGCTAATTCCGGCACCCCCAACCGGAGTGTTTATTCCTTTTCAGGTGACTATCAGCGGATCACGAGCTCCCCCCAGGATCAGAAAAATATTTCCAAACCACTTCTCCACAATTGACGCCGTCTGTGAGAATACTCAAACACCTCCATGGCAGGCGCAACGGAAGACCCTCCGATAGCCACTGATGAAACGACGCAAAGAGACGACCTCACTCCATCAAACATGCTTGGACCGGACGCCATCCCTGTAAGACGAGCTTTGAACTTCGCCTCACCCTCGACTTCAGAGCATGAAGCAATGCAAGCGATCATAGAACAAGCAAAGCAAAACGAACAAAGGTTGGAGAACATGATCGCGGAGAACGAACGTCTTCATGAAGATTTGGCCTTGGAAGTGGCGAAGTCCAAACAAGCTGTACGCCTAAATCCGGATTGATCTCCGAAGGCAGGTGGTCGACGACCTTGAGCCCGACAAGACGACGCTGATAGCGGCTCCGACTCGTTATCCCCGGAGCCCAGGAAGAAGGGGCAACCTGAAATTACCAGTTCTTCTGAAGAAAGTCCCCGTATAAGGCACAAGCGAAGAAGGCACAGTTCGGACGAAGATCAACACGATCCCTTTGTACGACGGATTGCAAAGGCGGTGCTACCCAAGAAATTCAAAGCACCGTCATTCACCTTGTACGACGGCAAATCAGACCCCACCGACCATATCCGCCACTACAAGCAAGCCATGACATTGCATGCAGATGACGAGGCCTTCATGTGCCGAATATTCCCCAGCAGTTTGGGACCATTGGCTGTCATGTGGTATTATAAACTAAAGTCGGCTTCGATCAAAACTTTCCACCAATTACAGAAATCCTTCAGGGCCAGATTCATCACTAACGAGGTCCAGCCGAAACAAGCCGACTCTCTCTGGGCAATGCAGATCCAGCCAGGAGAAACACTAAGGGCGTATTCGGCACGATATTGGGAGTGCTTTAATCTTGTTGATGACGCCTACAACGACTCAATGGCTATCACCGCCTTCAAAATGGGATTACACCCAGGCAGCGCCCTCCGCAGTTCCCTGACAAGCAGGCCCCCCAAAAAAGTCTGGGCATTGATGAAGAAAGTTGAGGAATACTGCAAAATGGAAGACGACGCCTTGCGGGTTAAAGCCGAACAAATGGCCAACAAAACGACCCCTCCTGAAATTGCTCAGCCAGTAAGTTCCGTACCACCTCAGAGTCCTAAACCACGACAACGAGCTAAACAAGACAAGTAACGGGATTCTCGTCGATCAAGCAATCAATGCTCACACCGAGCAAATGAGCAACTGCAGGTCGATAGCAGGCGCACAAAGCGCGCCGACAAGAAATATACGGAGCTGTCAGAGCCAATCAGCTCGGTTATGTCTAAAATCCAACATCTTCCGTTCTTCAAATGGACGTCCAAAATGGTTGGACCCCTGACACGAGAAGGCGGGACAGGCAGTGTGAATATCACAAAGATCACGGTCATGATACGGACAGTTGCTATGCTTTGAAAGACCACATTGAGGAATTGGTCCAAGATGGTCAGCTCCAGCAACATGTCCGAAAGAGCACAATCAAAACAGTTGCCCTTTGGCAGGACTCACCTATGCTCGGCGTTATTCATATGATATACAGCCTTCCAACGCCACGTACCGTACACGCAATTCAGTCAGCCCCCCAGCGGCAACGCACACCAACGAAACAGCCCCACGAAGCTCCGAGTATTATCTTCGACGATTCCGATCTTATCGGCATAACACTCCCCCATATTGATCCATTGGTCATCGAACTACACGTAAACCGATTTACCGTTGAACGCGTCCTCATAGACCAAGGAAGCACTTCGGAGGTTATGTATTACGAGACCTTCATCAAACTCGGCTTCAACAAATCAAACCTGTCTCCGGTTCCTCATCCATTATTCGGCTTCAACGCAAATCCAAATTACCCGTTGGGAAAAATCACAATTCCCATTCGAGCGGGCTCCCAAACAGTGGATGTGGAATTCTTGGTCGTCAAGCTCCCTTCGCCGTATAATCTCATCATGGGGCGAACTTGGTTGCATCGTATTCAGGCCGTGCCAAGCACCTATCATCAGCTGCTATGCTTCCCGACCGAACACGGCATTGAGTAGATCCGTGGTTCCCGGCAATCCGCACAAGCATGTTATCTCCTTTCTGGAAAGACACCAACGGAGTCGCAGGTCAACTCCACTGAAGTGCCGAATCGAAACAACCTCGACGACGTCAAACGGCTCCCTAGCGAAAAGCCACGGAAGCTATAGGCGATACTAACGGTAGCTTGCCAGGACGTATGATCAACGCGTTCCGCGCCGCTACACGCCAGGAAAGTTGCTCCTAAAGGTATTTCCAGATGATAGGAGACCGGTTGATGGAAAATTAGGTACGCGACATTACTCCTGAAGCACTCACGAAAATTCTGTCATCAAACCCGACTTGTGGGGAATGATCCTAATTCTAAATGATTTGCCATGTACACATTCCACCTTTGTAATGGAAGGATTCTTGTTAAGAAACTGGATTCTTATTTAAAATAGTGCTCCGACGAAAAAGCCTCCGAATTCGAAGCGCCCTTCGTGGATATCACGATTGGCCAAAAAGTCTCCGGATTCGGAGCCCCATCGGCGCATGACGTCTTTGGGCCGATTAAGCCTCCGGATTCGAAGCGCCCTTCGTGGATATCACGATTAGCCAAAAAGTCTCCGGATTCGGAGCCCCATCGGCGCATGACGTCTTTGGGCCGATAAAAGCCTCCGGATTCGGAGTGTCATTCGTGGATATCACGATTGGCCAAAAAGTCTCCAGATTCGGAGCCCCATCAGCGCATGACGTCTTTGGGCCGATTAAGTCTCCGGATTTGGAGCGCCCTTTGTGGATTTCACGATTGGCCAAAAAGTCTCCGGATTCAGAGCCCCATTAGCGCATTACGTTTTTGGGCCGATTAAAGACTCCGGATTCGGAGCGCCTTTCGTGGATATCACGATTGGCCAAAAAGTCTCCGGATTCGGAGCCCCATCGGCACATGACGTCTTTGGACCGATTAAAGACTCCGGATTCAGAGCGCCCTTCGTGGAAATCACGATTGACCAAAAAGGCTCCGGATTCAGAGCCCCATCGGCGCATGACGTCTTTGGGCCGATTAAGCCTCCAGATTCGGAGCGCCCTTCGTGGATTTCACGATTGGCCAAAATAAGTCTCTGAATTCGGAGCGCTCTTCGTGAATATCACGATTGGCCAAAAAGTCTCCGGATTCGGAGCCCTATCGGCGCATGACGTCTTTGGGCCGATTAAAGACTCCGGATTCAGAGCGCCCCTCGTGGATATCACGATTGGCCAAAAGTCTCCGAATTCAGAGCCCCATCAGCACATGACGTCTTTGGGCTGATTAAAGACTCCGGATTCGGAGCGCCCTTCGTGGATTTCACGATTGGCCAAAATAAGTCTCCGAATTCAGAGCGCCCTTCGTGGATATCACGATTGGCCAAAAAGTCTTCGGATTCAGAGCCCCATCAACACATGACGTCTTTGGGCCAATTAAGCCTCCGGATTCGGAGCACCCTTCGTGGATATCACGATTGGCCAAAATAAGTCTCTGAATTCGGAGCACCCTTCGTGGATATCACGATTGACCAAAATAAGGCTTCGTTTGGAAACAGGCTAATTTAGTAACTTTTTGGCTATTTGGCTAAAATATGAGCTAAAAAAAACTAGTATGTTTGGGATGACTTTTTAGCTTTTTACGAAAATATGTACAAAAAGTAGAGAGAAAAGAGAATCTTTGACTTTTTGGTATGAGTTGTTGGCTTTTTAGCTAATTTAGTAACTTTTTAGTTTTTTGGCTAAAAAGGAAGGTTCCCAAATGAGGCCTAAGTCTCCGAATTCGGAGCACTCTTCATAGATATCACGATTGACCAAAAAGTCTCCGGATTCGGAGCCCCATCGGCGCATGACGTGTTTGGGCCGATTAAGACTCCGGATTCGAAGCGCTCTTCGTGGATATCTCGATTCGCCCAAAAGACTCCAGATTCGGAGCCTCATCGGCGCATGACGTCTTTGGGCCGAAAAAGTCTCTGGATTCGGAGCCCCATCGACACAAGACGTCTTTGGCCGATAAAGCTTCCAAATTCGACTAACCAGATAGTGCCACCGGGCGACGCTCAAGGGCCGAGTAATATTCCGAATTCGGAGCGTCCCCCAGAATGAAAACATTTACACATCAAGGCAGGGATATGTAGGTTGAGCCAGTACAACCGCATGAACAA